GTTGTCTCCGACATCAATAGGTTGGATCCCATTCGTCATTACTTTTCTTCAGCTTTCTTCAAGTCTTACTTTTGAAAAAACTTCTTGGATGGATGGAAGAGGCTTTCGGCCAAGAATTCTTCCTTTAACTTCATTGGGACTTGGGTGAACACCAGCCAGAAACATGAACACACGGTCATTCTCCTCTTTCTTCTTCTGCCGAGTACAATCTGCAAAACTCTCCCACACATCATCATGGCATTGATCCAATTCGTGCCATAATGTTGCCATCTCATTATAGTAAGAGGTAACATCACGGTTATCTTGTTTGGCTTGCCACAAATGTGTTTTAATTTCAAAGATCTGGGAAGAATTCTCCATTCTGAATATGTCGCTCAAGTAGAGTCCCACACTTTCTTGGCAGTTTTCATGAACATATGTGGCTTAGCAATGGACATGTCCATTGAATTGAGTAGCCACGTAGTTACTAAAAAATTCTCAGAACATCATTTCTGGTATCCTGGATCAGATGAGACCGGTTTTGAAGTTTCACCGGTCAGGAAGCCCAACTTACCTCGACCATCAATGGCGAGTTTCACAGATTGTGACCATTCCATATAGTTTTTCCCATTCAAACGATGCACAATGATTTGCATCGGTGATTGAGAGTAGTCAACTACTAGTGTTGATCGATTTGTAGATGTGACGGTGGAGTTTGATTCAGACTCCGGCATGTTGAACCTCGATTATTGGTTCTGATTATTAACAGCAAATAAGTTGTTAAAACATATACCTTTGTAGCTCTGATACCATGTAATTTCAGAGAAAATATGTTGTTATTCTCTTTGAAAAACAATAGGGATATTTATACAGCTTAAAGACCTAACTAGAATCCCATAATTTAAGGGATTTAATAACATACAAGGAAACTTACCAAACTATACAAATATCTACCAAATTTGTTACAAAAGGAAAAATAATCCCGAGAAATCAGGGATTATATTCATTGTATCAATTCCACATATTAGCTTAGCATATTCACCATCCGTTTACATAAAATAAAATTAAAATAGAAACAAAGCATAAGATTGGAATTGGATAGTCGGTTACAGCCAACCCTCTTTCAAATCACCATACCAATTTCTCCTCCATTTTCCACTAATCGAATAGTTCACCTGATGATATGCAAATCAAGTTCTAGTGGTGGGAAGTGGCAAACTGTCATCCATGGTGGAAACTATCATATCTCTGGTGGGAATGGGGAAGTGATTCTCGTTGGTGGGAGCATAGAGGGAAGGGTTATTTTGAAAGATGGGAGAAGTGTTTTAAGAGGGGTAGAATTTGGAAAATGTTGGCTTTAAGGGATTAAGCTCACCCTCATGGTCCGAGCAAATAAGCCAACATAATAAGCCAACAGTTGAGTGAACAAGCCACTCCCAAACTGTCATGGATGCCTTATCCAATAAGCCATACATGCCATAACCCATTGAGCCATTACTACAAACCGCTCCTCTTGGACCACTCTACCATCACTAGTAACTACTATATCAAATCACGATCTAACCACTATATTAGATTTTGATCATTCTAACAACATAGTTTGAGAGTAGAGGATAAATTACTAGAGTGTGCAACTGAGCATGAGGCACAGTGAGACTCAAAAGTAAATGTGGAAATTATAGGATGCATTTAGAAGTGTACACATATGCTTAATTTGTTCCATATCTAATGATAGAAAGGTGTGGTTGTTAAGGCACTAATGTTAGTTTACATGTGTTAAATAATCCTTTCTTTCATCGAGCACGAAGGAGTCTGGTTAGTCGTTTTCTGTTAAGTTCCTAGCAAGTAGTTGAAGAGTGATCATATTGTCGACAATGTTCATACGAGTGCCTTTCACCTTTCCGGGTTGGTCGAGGATCAAGTTTAGACTTGCTATATGACGAAGGACCAAGTCTAGAAGCAAGAGCAGAACTCTACAGTGGTTGGGAATTGTGAATCTCTGAGGCAGTAAGCATCTTGGTTTAAAAATGTGCTCTGATGCATGATGCGCTCCGAGGCACCGGAGGTAACACATCAGAGGGGCTAATGCGAAGCGATTCCATGATGCTCTGATGCGGTCGCATCACCTATGCATCACAAGATGCGTGCATCAGCGCATCATGTATGTTTCATGTTTGGGCTCCTTTTTCATTCTTTAGAGGTTTTTAGTTAGGCTTTTTGTAGACATGGTCTATGTGAAATTCAATTGTGCCTTACAACGTCGATATAAAAAAGAGGGAAGTGGTGATCCTATCATTCTAGAAGACATAGATGAAAGTAATGAGTGGTTGGTGGGGACATTGGGGAGGATGGACAATGATGATGAAGATGATGATTTGGTGTTTATTGATGATGATCTTACGTGGGATGACGTAGGTAGAGCTTTCGGGGCGTATGAGACTCCTCATTTCACTAGAGTATCAAGAGGGAGAGTAAATGATGATGGGTCGGGTCCATCAAGAACGAAGTGCTAGAGGAAAAGGACATGCTCTTTAGGATGAAGATGATGAAGTTGACGTGGAAGCAGATATTGGAGGGTTTGATAATGATGAGGGAGATGAACCCCTGTTGGGGTTTGATGATGTTGATCTTGGGGAGTATTAGTTGGTCACTTGGTCATTTAGTTTAGGGATTGGGGACTATTAGACATTTACTTGYGTTCTTCATGGTAGTAGTTTGTGTGTTNTGYTATTCCGATTCACGAACTTTTTAAGATTCTAATGCCACTTTTTGAACTACTTTATGTTATAAATGAAGTATTTTGATAGGTAAGTATTTTTAAGGTAGAAATTGATATGTAGAATTATAAGTATTTTTTGAATATCGGGCGCATCACACATCGGCTTCCAGGACCCTTACCGCCTCGAACTGCATCGTGCTTTTTTGAAACCAAGGTAAGCATTACCCAATGACACGCTTCTTCACGACAAACTTCAAAAAAGACCTTGGTATCTGGTAACGGCAAACGACCGACCAAACGTCCTCACAATTCATCAAGGTTGTTGCCCGACCCAGTAATGAACTCAAAGACTCGTTCTTTTTTAAAATTCTTTTTTTTTCTGTTTTATATTACAACTAATGCACAGAGGTGTGGTTTTGAGATATAGGTCGAGTTCCTGCCACAAGTCTTGTATGAGAAATACCGGGTGACAATACGATTACCTTGTTTTATTTCTTTGAATTCGGTGTTCATTCAAATATCTAAGACGCATTACCAAGACACGAGTACGTACACCAAGCTGCATCTGAAACTTCCTAGGCTGTTTTGAAGAACATATATATGTGGTTGATTCTGAGATCCATTGAGCTAATAAGCCAAGCAAGAGCAATAGAGCTCTCAGCTTGTCATTCCTTAGAGTTCAGACCTATGATGGGAGGGGCAGGAGTCAGAAAGGTAGCCCATGATGGAGTCGAGCTTGCCACCACCATAAATGAAGATTTTCACAGTATGTCATTGTGGGTAGTTTATGCGTTCTGGCTTGTGTATGTGATTTGTAGAGCCACTTAAATGATGTTCAAGGTCAAGAGCCCCATTTGTTTGAGAGGGGGCTTCTTTACTTGTGGCCATTTTCAAGAAACAAAAGCAAGTAGGATTCTTTTCTTTTCTTTAAGAAGCCGAAGGTTGATTGTCTATAAAAAAAGACAAATGCAAACTCAGTTGCTTATTTCTCGGCAGCATAACCAAGAACGTCGAAAGCTGGACGAGAATGTCACAAGCTCACAACAGAACCAAGAATAGTCGACAACACGTACAGATAGCGATAAGAGCGGCTGCAGTGACGAGGACAAACGAAGTTGAGACGGCAACGAATGTTGGAGATGGTGACCAAGCAGTGACGGCAACGGCGAAGAGTGGTTGTCGTACCTTGGTAATGGCAAGGAGGGGCTTCATCGAGGTACACATTTATAGTACAAGAGCAAAATAATTTACATAATTGACAGAATAAAATCTAATATAAATGAGGAAGGGATATACCATTCATCTCAAATCTTTTATGATTTGATTTACAATCTTTCAACAATAGGATATATTAAGCAACGTTAAACGTCATAGTTATTAAAAGCGTGCATGAGGCGCACCTAGGCTGTGAGACTTATAAGGCTCAAGGTCTTGGGCTTTTTTAAAGTCGAGGCTAGGCGTATTCACGAGGTTCACTAAGGCCCTACACCTTGGCTGAGGTGCCTTCTGGGCCTACACGTGCCTTATAAATAGTTATTACATACCTATTCAAACCCTAATATTAAATAAGTTTTTCATCTTCTTATCTCTTAGAGTTATTAAATAGATGAAATAAGTAAAACCCAAATATATTAAATACTCAATTGGCCGGTTCTTACAACTTCAAGCCTCTTTCTCTATAAATACCCAAACCTTAAAACTTCTTCCTCATGGGACACGCTTTAAACCCTTCTCCCTTCTGCCTCTATCAAAGTACTGTTGGTTGCTGCACTGGAGGCATGTACTTGCAACATATTTGAATTGTGTGTAACTGTGTGTGTGTATACACTTTCCTATAAGATGTGCCTCACATTCCTGACACCTGCGCCTTATGCCAGGCCCGGGGACCCCTTTACACCAAAGTGCACCTTGAGCCTTTAACAACTTTGGTTAACGTCCTATCTAAATGAGTGATCTCTGTCACCAGGAAATATTTTCATCCTGTAAGTGCAGACCTATAGGTCTTAATTCAAAATATCCTGAAATTTGGTGATTATGCCAAGAATTTGCTTTAGTATCCCTCTAGTTTACACACTCCCGATATTCACAATGTCACCTAGAGGAGAAATTCAGTTCATTTACTCGACTAAGATCCTTCAAGCGGCCAAAAGATATCAAGCAATGTTAGCTGCAGCAGGCATGCCACAAATTGGACCCATATAGAAGATCTTGAGTGTTTAATTAAGTACATAAAATGATGCCATTCATTACCAAAAGCAGTAGATGTGGAGTGTTGGCTAAAAGGACAAATTTGATCACCTACCCAAGAGTTGATAGCGATTTGTTTATATAGGATGCCTCCTTCAAACGTTCTCCTGCTCCAGAACTTCTCTGCCTAAATGACAATTTTAATATTTGGAGAGTTAAAACCATGAGATAGAAGTCAAATGCATGAGATGGTTTAACTTACAGAGGTCTCTAGAGTATGCTACTACTGAAAAATAACTAAAAGGAATGTGGATTTGTATGTGTACATGAATGACATTTATTATCCAGAGAACACCAGGTTCTTTTTGGGACGGAAAACTACCTTTCAGAACCAGCCAGATCTACCAAATTTAACCTTCCAAATCTAAGGTGCGTCGTTGAATCCTTTTCCCAACGACTTTCAACAACACATGTGAAAACACTATGTGATCTGCTGCTCTCACTGTTCATATCTGTTCCAGCAACTTTCCTATTTGCAGCACCCTGTAGAAGTAGACTGATTAAATAGCCGGCGGGCATACAACTGTTGAACTAATCATAGAAAAGTGTTAGCAAAATGTGCAGTTTCACTATATTGACACACCTGCAACAAAAGCTTGAGGACTTCATCGACAGTTTTGACATTATATTCTGTAAGATTTTCAACATATACTCCTTCCTTCAAATCTTCTCTGAGCTATAAAACGAAGAAATCATGTGTAATCTCCAAAGAGACAATGAGGAAGGGAAGCTGACCTTAATGCACTAGCATGAATAAATGAACTTATACTCACTTGGAGATTAGTGGATGAAGGCTCCAGGAGATCTGTGATCTGCTCATTGTATATCTCCAAAAAGGAACATTTGCAACTATATTCTAGTCGTTCATCCCTTCTGTTCTCCTCCTCCTGCAAATAATCTCACGGTGCAATTAGGCATCAAAAAGATTTGAGTGTGTTATAGAATCTAGTCATACATAGTACAATCTATCTCACCAATTTAATCCTCATGAATAAATATTCAAAAAGACGTGGTGTTATCCCACAGTCATCGACAAGCTTGCCATCCAGTTGACTTATCTCACCCATCATTGTGTATGTTTTGCCACTACCAGTCTGAACACGTGAAAAGACAAGAATCAGTCAAATCCAACCTCATACTACATCAAAACAATATAACAGCGCAAGTTTATTAAAGCCATACCTGACCATAAGCAAACATGCAACTATTATAGCCGGACATGCAATTATCAACCATGGGCAATCCAGCAACCCTGAAGAGCTTTTCCTGAGATATAATATCACCACAAAAGCACCACCAATTTGTATTAAGAAAACATAACTATTTTTCTTTGGTAATTGTAATAAGTCATATATGCAAGCAAAAACTAAATTATAGTACCTGTGATATCATCTCACAGACAATGTGATCGAATGTAAATCTGACTTCAGGGTGGCCAAGCCACACTAAAGTCTGTAAACTCTCCTGCTTCAAGCACCTACCAAATCCTTGGGCCATCTTCTCCATATTACTTAACGGTCTCATCCGTATTAAGACCTGTATATTAAACTTTCAGCTCATGGAACCATCCACAGCAAAGCCATCAAACCATAAGCAATAGTCTCTTTCAAAGTGATTTCTGAGAATTCCTTTTCTTATCCTGAAGCCCTTGCAATTCCATTCTAACTCTTTTAAGAGTACATAATCAAATGCATATTGATTGAAAACAATGTGACAAGGAAGAGGTTTATCCCTACATTTCTTTCTAAGTAACCTTTTGGATTTTGTGTTCAGGAGAAAAATTGGTGATATGAGAGTTGAAATACAAATCACATGATTGAAACTGCGTGGTTGTTTTGCCATTTATTGTTTACCCTCAAATGGAAATTTTTCCCAGCAAGTTGAAGTCAAATTTCCTTTCTGGAAGTAAGTTACTGTTCTAAAATACTTGTTCGCAAATATTAGCGCTCCTTTATACCAAGAATGCGGATATAATATCTGGCAACTCAAGTTCTTTCTCAAACTATGAAGCTTATATACCAAGCAGATATACCATCTCAAGTGAATGCATTATAAAATCGTTACATGTCATTCAAGAGGGGCATCTGTATCACAAAAAACTTTCATGGATGTGGTGTCGTAGAATCATAGTGTCCGCTTTTCTAAGGTTTCATACATATTTTAGATAAAGTTTACTTCAAGTAGGGTATAAGAGGTATAATGTAATTGACCTGAACATTGTGATCGTTCCAAAAGGAAGGATCCTCGACAAGCTCAAAATGCGGAACTTCAGTAGGCGGCGGTTCACAGCTTACATTTGAAATCCTTCTCGAAACCCTAGAACTGCTCCCGGCCCTTTCTCCTGTACTTAGAAGAGCCCTTGGCCCGGTACAAGCCCCCAATTGACCAGCATAAGTGGTCCTCCTAGCTGGTGTACTATGCGCCGAATCATATTTCCTCCGATTAGAAGTAGAACCAGCTTCTAGAGATTTATCCCTAAATCCATTATGGATGAGAACCTCTTGAAAAAATTCCTTGGAGAATTGTGATGGATCTGGTATGGCAATCAACGGAGTTCTTGAAAGAGGAATATCTACTGGATTCGTCAGTGTCTTCTCGAACTGATTCTCGTTTCCGTCAGCTTGACTGTTCTTCGAACCATCTTTCGCCATTTTCAAATAGGAAGAAAAAACCTCGATTTGCTTCAAAACTAATGTGGTTGGAGAATTTAGTAACGAGGATTCACACTGGTGACCATGATTGAATAATTAATCGCCATGAAAGGAAATCTCAGCAAATATAGAAAGTTTCCTGACAGAGAATCCAGATGAAAAAGCTGAAAGCGGGACGATGATAAAAGAAAATAGAACCGCCCGTTTTCAAATTAAACAGTGGCTGGGTTTAAACTTTTCACTTTTAGCCCTTTAAAGTATTTTAATTGCAAAATAGACCCCCTATCATCATAAATGCCGAGCAGATCCGGAAATCTATTGGTGGCAACCCAATCTCACTATAAAAATATTTTATAATAAAGCAAAATTTCCAAAATATCAAACTACTTTTTATAAAAAAAAATTATTATAGCATTGTACTTTAAGTTTTTTTTATTACAGTAATGTATTTTTAAATTATTTTTTATTAGAATATTGTACTTTGAAAATTTTACTCATTATAGCATTGACTAACCTTTTGATTTAAATTTACTTATTATAGCAGGTTTCTATGTCACCTCGTTGTCCACGTAGTTTATCCACATATACTATAGTGATGTGAGTTTCTTATTACAACATTGTACCTTTAAAACTATTTTATTATAGCATCTACTAGTTCTTATTAAACAATGTACTTTTAAATTTAATATTTAGATATTTTACATGTTATTTAATAAATATATTGTTTTTCGAAAAAAGAAAACAAGAATTGTTCATTTTTTACCAAAAAAAAAATATTATCTTTTAAAGAATATATTATATTTATTCAAAAGCTTTTACTTAATGTATAAATAAATTAAATTAATTAGATTTTTTTGAATTATTTATTAATATAACAATATTAAAAAATTGTAGAACACAATTCATTTCGTTAACATTTTAGATAGAACTTTAAAAGATATATATTTTTTGAACAACATAAAATAAGAAGCGTTACCTTTTTTACAAACAAAATATATATCTTGAAAATAATTTAGCATATTTATTTAAGAAATATTTTACTCTAGAATATTTAATTTGCATGCAACTTAATAAGAAAAAGTCAAAAAAATTAAATGTTTTTTAAAATCATAGCAAATGAAAAATGAAAATCACTAATAATAACTTGAAATAGGTTTTTATTTTTATTTTAATTAAGTCATCAAAATAATATGTCATCTACATCACCTCATTAAAGTCACAAAAGCAAAAAAGTCAATGGGTTAACCGGTTTAAAAGGTAACAGGTTACTCATTGCTATAATGGGTATATTTTTTAAAGTACGATGCCTTAATAAAAAATAATTTGAAAGTACATTGTTGTAATAAAAAAAAACAAAAGTAGAATGTTATAATAAGAAAACTTATGAAAGTAGGTGTTATTTCATGTATTTAACTCTTTATAATATTAATATGGATTCATAAAAATGACCTATGTTTGAGTTTAGATTGTAATTTTTTTTCTAAATATATAAAAAATCCAAATTTAGGTTAAAACTAAGGTCCCGTTTAGTCATATTCATATAAATCAAACACACCAATGCTTTCAAATTCATTCCAATCTGAATCCCTTCATGAAATCCAAATCCCTCAAAAACAATCCTGCAAACCAAACGGACCCTAAAAGATTTTGACATTTGTGAGACATGAACCTGGGTTTTTGTACAAAGCAAACAACATTTATCAACTATGTCATTAAAAACTTACACGAAAGCTTCAGCTTCAAAATCAATACAGCGGCACCTAACAAAACAATACAGTAACACATTTTAGAAACGCAGTTTTTCTCTTTACATCGAAACCATGAAGCGACAGCTTGTGCCACCGTATGATCCCATACAAGTGTTGGTTTGAATGGAAAATACCAAGTTTGTTTAATTAGGTTTTTGTTGATGTATTACATAAAAAAATAGTGTGTATATAATAATATTATCTGAAAAGAAAGGAGATGATGATGATGACGACGATGACGACGACATTTGTAGTGGGAGTGGAGCGTAATTGATGCATAAAAAAGAAACAATATCATTAAAAAGCAATGATTTGTAAATTGGAATAAAGGAATTTGTTTTGAACAAGAAATGAAAAGTTACAAACACTGTTTTAAACCTCTAAGTTTACGTTTGTTTTAATAATCTTCATTGTATGCGACCATGTATAGTTTTAGTTTTCGAACTGTGTCAGTTAAACTTACAAACAACCAATAGTTAAAACAAAGTAAAGAAAACACAAGAAAACAGTTTGAAAGGATAATTTTTAAGACATTTGTAGAGATGTTTTTCATAAATATCATTATATTATCACTAGAAGGGTACTCGTGCAATGCAGCGAGATAAATCTTAATTTTAATATTTTATTTTATTGTTTATCTCAGTCAATGTTATAATATGATCTTATATGATTTTGAAAAAGCAATGATGTTTTTATTTTTTAATAAAATGTAAATTTGAAGATATCATAAAATTTTGACAAAAATATATCGATTTTAGTATCAAATTAACTATTTAAATTTCATCTTTTTTTGTGTAAATTTTCAATTCAATTTTCTTTATTATAATTTAATTTAGATTCAATAACGAAGTACTTTATATTTGGTTTAATAATATAATTTTCTTATAAAGATAATAATTAATTGTTTTGTTAGAACTTGATAATTATCTTAATTATATTTTAGATTTTTTATATTTTAAAATGAGATGTTTATCCTCTATTTGATTATGTTTATCTGCAGTTAGTTACACGAATTCAAACATGGAGCTTTAATAAGTTGTACTTATGCATAATTACTTGTAATCTTGAATTTTAAATAATATGCATCAATATACAGTACTTTATGCATAAAAAATGGTTTTTAAGAATTTATGTCAAATGCTTTATAATATAGTATAGATAATATAGAGTTGTGCGTTCAATGGATACATTATACATAACATGTATCTAAAACATATTAACTCTATAAAACCCAAAGTTTCTTAAACAAATCCATCGTTTAAGATGATGATTAATCATATGATACTCCAAAGTACGTTGACCCTTCTGAGCTTTCTCGAGCGTACTTGTTCAACAATCCTATCAACAATTCCCTATTCAATTTTCAGTGACACGTTTCTTTAAGCAAAATTGTTGAGTGATTACGAGTTTGAGACGTTTAACATAAACATAGATTCATATCATCAGTTACAACATAAAAACATTATTTCATGACCTCTAAAAATGCTCTTTTCGTGAATGTTATGTGTGCTCATTAGTCATTTCGGAAAGCCGTCACCTTCTTGTAGCAAAATAGTTTCACCGTAACAAAATTATAAAGTAAATTAAAAAAAAGTTGGAAACAAGCCCGAGTATTGAGTTGAGGCCCGTGTTAGACACGGTTTCCTTAAAACTGAATCGCCCCCCAACAAGGGCGTCGATTTCTCCTAGGATATAATGACTTTAAAGAGAATAGAATTATGTCGGACTTCATCTTCATGCCTGAACTTGAGAACCTGGTGTTATTTAATTACTTGATGTCAATGCTTTTCGTTTGTGTTATCTCTTCCTTTATATTTCCTTTGTCCTCTTCTTAAGAACTCAATTGTTGAGTTATTTATATGGGAAACTCGTTAGTAACCCGATTAAGTTTAAGAGATGGATCGTAATGGAACTTAATTCCTTTAATTGTAATCGAAGCATATGGAAGGTCAAAGACCTTTTCCATAATTTTTCGTTCAATTTTTCTAACAATCCCCCACATGAATGAAAATTATCATAAACATGACAATAGTCGTATTCTCAAGTTCAATGCTTGAATCTTGTAAATGATGGGTAGGCGTTAACCTCTGAACCTTTCCTTATGAAGCATATCTAGTCTGCTAGCGAATCAGTAGACGCGATGTCCTTGAACTGTTATGCCATTCGTGTACACATTAACACACTTCATACTAGGGACATTTATCTGGGTTCTGATTCAAAACTAGTCGGTTATAAGTCCCAACTTCCATAACCAACTAGCATGCATCTCACATTAGCTTTACCTATTATATCCACGAGTTGGATTTTGATGAAAAGAAAGTTAAAAGTGAAAAGCGTAAGAAGGGTCTCCGCCCTTAGATGTACATCAGGATGAAATGCACCGGATTCCTGTATCAAGCGCCGTTCATGGGTGGATTTGAGATTAAAGATGATCAAGGATCCATATCCCTTCTTACGATTCTCACATTAACTCTCCTCCTCGCACGATCTTTGACCTTATATCCAAATACTTACCGTTAATGGTGAAATAAATCAAATGTAATGTAAAAACCACCTTTTCAATCTCAATTTCAAAATAAGCAAAATTACCAGCACTTCATAATGCATCAATTACCTGTCTGACACACAAAAAACCAAAGTCTCAATACAATTATACTTGAATAAAAAGCTTTTGTCACAGAAATACATACTCAAATTCTACATGCTGTATATTCCATTCATTCATTCATTCTCTAGGAAATTAAGCTGCCTGCTGCTTGATAGAAATGAGAAGAAATCAATCACCTATTCCCTCTCAACATACATAAAACAAAAAACAACCCCATAAAATGCTCTGTTGATGCTGCTGCTAACATGTATACCCCACCTTTGTATCACTCCCTTTTAAGCCTGAAAAGCAAACACTCAATTCAGACACAAAACCACCACTTCTTTGTATCATCAAAACTGACACAATTCCATCTTTCTGCCAACTTCTTTTTATTGAGTTCATACCATTACAAATAATTGATGACATTAATTTGGATCCACATGGTTCCCCAATCATCATTATTGAAGGCTATTGAAAACAATTACACCTTCTCCTTTAACTATGTGGCCACTCAGATAGTGCAACACAAGGAAATACTCCCTCTGTCCCAAAATAAATGTGCACAATGAAAAAGGCACACAGTTTTAGAAATATATATATATATATATATATATATATATATATATTTACAGTTTTTATTTAACTAAATAAATAGAGGGAGTAATGAATTTCTCCATCGCATAATTGAAGATACAATTGAAAAGTAGACACTTAGGGGCCGTTAACCAAATGCTTACTTGGGTAAGCGCTTACCAAGTTATATTACATTACCGGATGAATATGGTAAGAACCAAATATCTTACCGGTAAGAACGAGGCAAAGACTGAGAGTCTTACCCTGTAAGTGAGGGCAATGACTCTTACCACAGTCAGCTCTTACAGGGTAAATTGTTGCATAAAAAGCCGTTTTTGTTGACTAAAATCTTACCCGGTAAGTAAATAATAGTATTGAATTTTACTCGTAAGTGCTTACCGGGTAAGTGTTTGGTAAACGTCCCCTTACTTTTGTGAGTGGACACCTATTTTGGAACAAAGTAAATTACAAATGCAGACACTTAGTTTGGAACCGCCCCGGGAGGGGGTTCTTACACATAAATTTCCATTTCCGGAATATAGCAATTTTATAGGCAATCTTAGTTCACAAAGCAAGGAACATATATAACAATCAAAATGGTAGATGATTAATGGAAACATACTACCACTTCATAAAAATATTTTTTCTCAAACAAGCAAAAAAGAAATATTGAAATTTTCATGTAAAACAGGCTTAAACATTGTCATGACTTTGATTATCCACTCAATGGTACTTACCTTGTTAGCAATGTTGTTGGAAAGCCAATCCAGTCCCTCATATAGACCTTCTCCAGAGGTGGCACACGTGCTCTGGATATACCTGATGCATACAAATTAACGCATAAATGCAGGCACTGTGTACATGTGTGTGTGTTTGTGTGATAAAGTGGTGTTGTTGGAGAGAGTTACCAGTGTCGTTGTCGGAGAGAATGCAGGCCGAGCTTGTCAGTGATCTCAGCAGCATTCATAGCATTTGGAAGATCTTGTTTGTTAGCAAAAACAAGCAACACTGCATCTCTTAGTTCGTCCTATAACAAGGTCAACTTATATCACAATGCCGAAAAAGAAACAAATTCCCACCGCAAGTTTCCTCTAAAGTTCCGGAGTAATGTAGCAAAGCTTCAAAATACCTCATTAAGCATTCTGTGTAGCTCATCTCTGGCCTCAACCACACGGTCACGATCATTGCTGTCCACCACAAAGATAAGACCTTGTGTGTTCTGGAAGTAGTGCCTCCACAAAGGTCGAATCTGATAATAACTAATATGAGCATTTCATTTCAGAAATCATATAGTGAGTTCAATATATAATATAATATATATATATATATCAGTAAATTGGGTACTTCTTTTCTTCACAATTGATCATAGTGACATTGTACAATAGCCTACCCATCAGGATCACAATAAAAACATGTTCACAAGTTTATAGGTGTCAAAATGGAAGTAATATGAGCACCAACAAAATCAGCCTTACCGCACAATTCAGAGGGTATACCGCTTATATAAATCAGGATAGGCTTAAATTGATCTGGCTTATGATGATGTTAGGTGCTGATACAGCATATTTAATCAGCACCAGACGGTCCACAAGCACAATTACACAGATAAGGATAAAGAGAAAAAGGTTATTTGTAAAAACAAAGAAGCATTACAATGTTAGTAGCAATTGAGTACTATATCTCATGCTCATGTAAATAGATCAGCAAAATACGTGCATAAAATGTCTCGCAAAAAATGAATCGTTACCTTAATATAATAATCTAATATGAACCAACTAACTGGATTTACAGTAAACTGAGTTTTGGGGTGGAGTACAAAAATCATCACTCTGACTATTGATTAATCTACAAGTTTCGCCCTGCACGAACTTTTTGGCACTCTTCATCATTAGATGAAGGATCTTGTCCTAATCAATTCTTTATGCATGTCAAAAGTTGCTGACATTCGTTAGAAAAATACCATGTGAAGGCACATGCCTATTTAAGGAAGGCGTCCTTATCAATTCATATCCCTTCTTATTGATTATTAATGGCACCTCACCCTCCTCTCCCTCATTCTTCTATATCATCATCTCGCATTTAGGTTCATCTGCTAATTAGATCTGCCATTGATTCAGTCCATACATGGGATATGAAATGACATCAAGAAGAAAGTATGAGAAACTTGAGCCCAAAACAAATTAGAGAATTGGTTAGTAGCAGACAGCGATAGGGATTTCATTCTGCAATGGCATAGTCCAATCTGCAACCACTTCAGATGCAGAACTGCTCCCCCCCCCCCCAAAAAAAAATTATCCGTCAGCCACCACCCCACCTCAATTCTGTTTCATTCTAGTTCATACAATGCCAAAACGTCAAGTATCCATTACCGCCAGTGACTTCAACCTCCTGAGTCAAAGTTCTGCATCACAATGTCGTTCGAGGAATTGATCTGTCACCGAAAAAAGGTTTACAAGAGCAGATAGATATTCTTTAGCTTCAAGATCACCTTTCAACCATCTTGAAATCAGCCCATATGATGAAGCCAGGACCACTTCATTATCGTACTCACCTCAAGTCCTCAACTCACTCGATTAAACTGGAAAGATCCCATTGAGAGTTTGAGACTTGTGAATTGAAATTGAAGGGGTTGACTATTGTGTCCAACCGTGTCTTAGGTTCCTATCTAAATGGCCTTGTTGACCAATTAATCATGGGGGAGGCAGAGTGAATGCTGTTGATGATTGATTCATGGATGAGGAACCAAGTCAAAAAGCCCAATCAGACTGCTTCAAGATTGCAAGCTTGATTTGAGACCAACATATTCTTTCTCTCTCATATTTAATATTGATCTGCTTCCCTGGGCAAGCATAAATATTGAAGTTCGTGACCATATCTGTGTTAAGAACCAAGAGGGGAATAAAGAATGGAGTGATAATAAGAGAGCAAGAAATGAACAATTTTAAGTTGGGGAACATGACTTCATTTCTTGCAGCTGGGCCTGGAAACGAAATGGCAAATAATAAGATGATTCTGTGATCAGCACAAAATGTACTTCAGCCACTTGCCCCTCATTCAACGATAATAATAGGTGGGGATGAAGTGAATGGAGGGGTTGCAAGTTAAGATGATGAAAACCAGAGCAATGTGGTCATTTGATTTGACTACTATTCCTCGTAAAAAGGGGCCAGTTCCATTATACATGATAAAACTAGCAGACAGAAGTTAACAGTAACAAAAAGAAGGGCTTGACTGGAACCAGATTTAAGAACCAAATTTTTTTTTTGTCAAGGGAAGAAATCTCCATATTGAGGAATAGTCAGGGATGATTTTTGTAGTTCACTCTTAAGTTAATCTATAGAAGAGTTTTAAAGCCACATCATCTTGCTGGGTCAGTCTTGCTGACAGTTTACAGGTTGCCACAATATCGGTTTTTATATGATTTTGCAATGCAAGTCAAGTGATCAATATGCACATACGAATTGGTAACAACGTTACCTTGTCTTGACCACCGACATCCCACACAGTGAAGCTGATGTTCTTGTACTCTACAGTTTCAACATTGAATCCTGCAAAAGAATCGAGTTCAGTAGCATAGAAGAGATGAAAATAGAACTCCATATTTTTCTTAACCGGAGAGAGAATTTTCTGGGAGATCTGCAAGTCGCTGTTAGAAAATTCAAAGCTCTGTTGATGTAACAAGATTCATGAGGCAATGAAGCTTGATCTACAAGCCATGCAACAAAGTATGTTTGGGAATAAGTCTTATAATATGGTTAATCAGGTGTGCATTTTCTATAACGCTCAGCCCTCTCGCATTTGATTGGCCAAAATCAAAACATAAGATGACTTGGGTATTATTTTCCTCAGAATATTAAAAATTTAGCCCTCATATACGAGTTGTACGATTCGAGCCTTGCAGGAAAAGAATAGCACTATGGGGCAACCAATGTTTTTAAGCTCTGCATTCAACTCTATGTATATCACCTACTAGAATTATGCTAAAATTAGAAATGACAAGTTGAAAACAATACAAAGACCACATAATTTCATATTCCCCTCAAGAATTATTGGATGATATAATTGGCAAAAAAATGTACTACTTCCATCCCATAAGAATTGCAATATCCAAACCCACATGCAAATTAATAGAAACTTAATTATACCTTAGTTAACCATGTAAAAGTGAACTTTGTGGGCCAGAATAGACACAACCACTCTTGTAAGGATTACAATGGTAGGGAGTTGACATTCAAACTTAAAAAAGAAAGATGTTGCAACTTCTATTAGACATCCCAGAAAGGGAAATATTCCCAAAAAATGGTCCCTTACCATTTATTTCAAGTTATATTTTGGTCACTGTTGTTATTTATATGCTCACACTCTTAACAATTTTGTGAAATTCCCTATCATTCCCTTGCTAAAAAAAATAGCCCCCTAGGTGCCATTATATCTTTACTTTAGTTCTCATTTATACAAATCTATTATAAGCACTCCTGCTTTTTTCTATTATATTAATCACTATCATAATTTTTTTCAAAAACCTGCTTTTACCCTTTAAAATCACATTTGAACCCTTGAATTATGCTTTCTAATATCTTATGTTGCATATAAATACAACCAATTTCAATTACCTTCAAGGAGAAACGATTAAAAAGGGCAACAGACTTTTACTGACAACTAAAAGCCAATATGACTCATAGCCAACATCCAGATTACAAATCTGACAAAATTTACCAGAAATGAACTACATGCTAGAAATAACTCTTGTGGATGACAATTTTTATGATGGCGATGATAAACTATAAAATTTTTGTAGGATACCTAATCAATATTATGTTTATGGATGTAGGTTAATGTTTATATTAACTTCCAATAGTTAATACAAGCATATAGTTGTTAAAAGCGCACCCGAGGCACGCCTAGGCTCTGAGGCTCATAAGACTCAAGGTCTTGGGCTTTTTTCAAGTCGAGGCTCAGCGTATTCACGCACTGCGCCTTGGTTGAGGCGCCTTGTGGGCCTAGATGCGCCTCAAAAAGAGTTATTAAATAACCTTGTTAAACCCTAAGTTTAAACAAGTTTTCTCATCTTCTCATCTCCTAGATTTCTTTAGAAAAGTGTTAATAAGTAGATTACATAAGTCAAACCCAAATATTGTATACTCAGTCCTTAGAACTTCAAGCCTCCTCCTCTATAAATACCCAGACCTTAAAACTTCTCCTTCACGGCTCAAGCTTTAAACCCTTCACCTCTATCAAAGTACTGTGGTTGCTGCATTGGAGACTTGTTGTGTGTAATTGTGTGTGTGAATGAGTGTATGTGTGTGTGTGTACTGATAAAATGCGCCAAGCGTTCCTGAGGCCCACGCCTCAAGCGTACTCCTAGCGCCTAGGCCCCGGGACCTCTTTGCACCTAAGTGCACCTTGAGCCTTTCATTACAACTCTTAACTTTTGTCATGTCTCCTTAAAGGTTTGTATTTTTTTTTTTTTTTAAATTTTGTAGACAAAAAAAAATGCTAGAAAACCCAATTTGGGAGTTGCAATGTGATTTACAAAAATAAAATTAGGTTATTGGAAAAAATAACGATAGTGATTCGAATAGTAGAATGAATAAAAGATGACTGTTTTTTAAATAGATTTGTATACATGGACTACCAAAATAAAGATTCACTTAAGAGCAAGTAGCCATTTTAATTATTTAACGAGGGCATAATAGCAAATTTTAAAAAGTTATTAACGGTGTAAGCATAATATAAATTAAAAGGCAATGATCAAAATTGAACAGAAAAACAACAGTGTAAGCATAAAACATAAGTGACCATTTCACATATTTTGTCAGGTGTGACTAAAGCATATATTTAGTAGAAGGCGGGTGGCCAGTTATATTTTTTGGTAAAGGTTGTTCTTGTGGGACAGAATGGAGAAGGCAAGAACGCTAAACAATGGAAATCACTACCTCCATAAAAGGCTGATGTTTTTTCTTTCAAAATTACTACCCCTTGAAATGCTAGAATCTCACAAACTTAATACATGCTAAAAAGAGGAAACATTTCATAAAGATCAGTGGAATGCACCATGCAAGAACCACGAGTGGCTACTAAATGCTATCCATAACCCTAAGTTCAGCTAGCCAATCGACCATGTTGATACACTTGCTGTTTAATATATATTTTGTGATGTTCCAAGAGCAAAACTTTCTGCCTTTTCTTGATCAGTAATTTAAGACTAACACTCTCTAGCACATTCATGAGAGAAACATAGTTCTTATCCACAATTCTTTATATTTATGATTCAAGCTGAGTGACTAACCACCTAGCATAAGACATTATACAAGCAAAAGGAAGAAAAAGAGGCAGTATAAGTTTAGTTTGTTGACAATGAGGCATACCAATAGTAGGGATGGTGGTGACAATTTCCCCCAACTTGAGCTTGTACAAAATCGTGGTTTTACCAGCTGCATCGAGACCAACCATCAGAATACGCATCTCCCTCTTAGCGAACAAGCGACTGAATAGCTTGGTAAAAGACAGTCCCATCTTTGTATCTAGTATAAAAATAGACCAGATTAGTTTTTATCAGAAGTAAGCCACACATGGCGCCTTGATAAATGAAAACAAGGTTGGAAATCCTGATTTTCATTGTCGTATAAAAATCTAAATAAGATGGGAAATATTTGATAGAAACATGGAGAAGGACCAAATACTTATATTGGCAATGCAATAGGTAACACGCACCGTCTCCTCTAGAACCAAATATCCATCAGAGAAATACACAACTGCTCTAGAGACATTTGCAAGGCCAAACAACATCAAGAAATTTCACGTTCAAAGTCTAAACATACTATTTAAAAGCCTTTGCCGTTTTGATGAGTTAAGCTTGACAGCCTTTAAGAAAAGGCGAGCTTGATGATATAAAAAATGAGTTCCGTATGATACCATCATATTGGATTTTATCCCCATTAAAGCGCTTTCCTTATACATGCTCGGATATGCACTGTCCAAGAAAAGTGAGTTTCATATGGTACCATCATATTGGATTTTATTAAAACCCCGTTCATGTGCTTCCTTACATGCTCGGGTATGCACTGTCCAAGAGTTGCTTAAAGTGCAAACATACAAAACTTTTACCATTTGCACTCGAATAGATAACAACTAGAAAAGAGAGCAAATTTGAGCAGTTCCAAGAGCCATGTGAGATTTGTCAACCAAAGATGTCAAATTTGCATCAAAACCAATACTATAACTTGAAACTAAGACCCTTCATTATATGTACCACTTATGTGTGGTCACTTCTCATATACTTTTTGAAGACGGTGAAACAAAAATGCCAGATTTTACTATGAACTTGAGAGCCCCTCTCATGCCTGCAAATGTATCTCCCATTTCCTCAAAAGAAATGAAACCATTGAGTGCAATTAAGGGACAAAGACAATTACTTGCTTCAAATTTGAGTTGTCGATATCATTATAGAACTGAGTCAAGTGAAAACCCAATTTCACGGATATTTGTGATTATTACAAGTCGTTTTGCAAATCTGAACTGAAAATGTGGCTTAAGGATTTAAACAACAAACTCCTCAACGACTATAACAAATCATCAACTTAAAAAACAAATACTACAAAACAAACTTCTAAACAGAAAGATGCGCGTGATCAGATTAAGAAATAACACGCGAAAAATACCATCATGAACGTATCTAATGGTTAAGAAAGATTACAAAAGCCTATTCAATAAATATTGAGTCGATGAAATAAATATCAACGAAATATTGATCATGTATTAGATCCAGTTCCGATCTGATCTACAATGGAAATCAGAATCAAGTATTCATATTAAACGGCATAAATGAATAGATACAAATTTACGAGACTTACGATCTGCCGGCAACCGGAAAAGGTGACGAAGATTGTTCGAAATCGGGAGCCGTCGGTCGCTACCACCAAAGTGTGAGATAAATACGGAGTCGATCAAAGCGGACAGGGTATTATTTAAAGGGCCGATATTCGAGGAACACCGACGTCCGTTAAACATTGGGAAGATGCCTTTAACTTTAGACTAATATACAAATGAGCCCTTGATCTTTGTCATATTACAAACACACCCTGTAACTTTTGTGGCAATGACACTTGACTTGTTTTTCTTTTAAATTTTAAATATTCAAATCATGGAATACAAGGAGTCTCATAAACCTTCCTAAATTTGTGTTATAAGATGGTACTATTGTCGGACTCGCGTGTCGCATGGTAACGATATGTTTTTAAGGAATCAGTTGATCGAGTTAAGATAAAACGTAATTCATCGATTAACGATTAATGAGATACAGTCTTATATAATGAATGTATTTTTATCAGTGGTAATCTGCATACGTTGATAGACGATGAATCGTGTGACAATAGAAGTTAAGTGAGAAGTGTAAGAAAAAATTTAGACCGTTGATCACTTTTCAAATCAACTCATGAATTGTACCTTAGAAGAGAATTGATTTGGTGTATCTCATTAGTGTTGATTTTATATTTATCTTCAACTGGAATTGATCTAAAAGTGGTTTCTTACCCTTCTCATCATAACTTTCATTATGGTCATACATTGATAATCATTTGTTATTACGAATAGTTGAGATGGATCAGTAAATAATTTTGTTATTATGCAATTTAGAACTCAAACGACATGCCCGACAACCGTATCACTATCAACCATATAACTATTGTCGTTAAGGGTATACTCCAAAAAGGGTCGCAAAATTAGTCAACCTTATGAGTTGTCACATAGAAAGACATTGTCTTATATTAATATCTTTCATACAGTTTTTCATCTTTTCAACAATATGGGATAATATTCTCACCGTATTTCAAGATTTAAGAAATATTTCATTCTCTTGATGTCACCTAATTACCCATGGTTAAATACATTGAATATTTAGAACTCAGACAGTATGTGCGCACAACCGTATATAAACCCTTCCTCATTTCTTATAGCCACCTATATTCTCCAATCAAACATTCTCTCGTCAATGTAATATGATTAAAACAACACGACAATGCAAGATTAAAGAATACTCAAAATCTCAAAATATTACCTCAAATACCCTTCGTTGTTTTTTTATACATATAAAGATATACAGATTTTTCTGTTATATATATGAAGATTTATGCCATGTATTGTTAAATTTCTTTATCGAGGGTTTGGTCAAGAGACGTTTTTAGGCAAATAAATCTTTTAATTACCGAAGTTATCCCATTCATTTATTATAGTCATATTTATTATAAACACTCGCGTGAGGTTTTTTTTGAGAATCAATTCACCCGACTTCAACAATCTGATTTTCAGTTTGTTTCTACTTATTTTCAACAACTTAAGGTACCTTCAGACCAACTCGCTAATGTAGGGGCTCTCGTTTCGGATGAACGACTGGTATTACAATTAGTGGTCGGCTTTCTAAGGTTTATGACGGAGCCGCTACCATCATTCAACAATCTGATTCCTTACCCCCTTTTTATCGTGCCCGTAGCATGCTCACTTTGGAAGAATCACGTAAAACAAAACGAGTTGTTGGACACTTATCTACTCCACCTACGGCCTTGATGATGACTTCAATCGGTGCTCCGTCACCACCCCCCATTATGACTTGAATTCACAACCATCGTACCGCCCACCATATCGCAGACGGGGAGGGATCGAGGGTACCGAGCCCACCGTGGTTGCGGTGGTCGCCATTGGCAAAACCCACGGCCTCCTGGGGAGTTATTCCACCAGAATTCACGCCCTCCGTGGCACCAACAGATAAAATATACACAATGGCAGTCGTCCCCATGGCCATCACCACCATGCCCATATCTGATGCATGGCTCTTCCACACCTTCGTAGACTACCCGCCAACCATCACAATCATCGCCTCCTTTGGCAACCCCGGGTGTTTTAGGTCCACGACCACCGCAAGCATACAATGTCAAAACCGCATCCAATTATGTTCCGACAAACATTGAGTCCACTTTGCACAAAATGACGCCTCAACCCTCGGATAACCAGTGGTGCATGGATGCGGGTGCCACGTATCACATGACTTTGGATCCAGGTACAGTTTCTCCTGTTAGTAAAGCATTAAATCATCATATTATAGTTGGTAATGGTTATTCTCTTCCAATTATAGCTATTGGTATGACGTCCTTTCCTTCTCCTTATCCTCCATTTACTTTGAATAATGTTCTTCTTGTTTATGATTTAATTAAGAATCTTGTTTCTGTAAAACAATTCATAAAAGACAATTCAATTTCAGTCGAATTTGACCCAACTGGTTTTTCTATGATGGATCTAATGCAGGGTACCATTCTAATGAGATGTGATTGTCACGGTGACCTTGACCCACTCCAACTAAATCGTCATCACATTCCCTCCGCGTTTGCTGTTTTTTCCTCTTCTCGTTGGTATGATCGTTTGGGACACCCCGATGATAACACTTTTGAGCAATCTTATTTCTAGTCGTTGATTTCTAGTGTGAAATGTTTGTCTTTTTTGTGTATTTGTTATTCATGTCAGTTAGGCAAACATAATCAATTATTGTTTTTTCCGTCTACTTCGTTAACTACATCACCATTTGAAATAATTCATAGTGACCTATGGACTTCACCTATTTTGAATACAAGCGATTGCAAATATTATTTATCGTTTCTTTGATGACTATACAAACTTTGTTTGGATATTTCCGCTTGCCACAAAGTCACAAACTTTTGCCATGTTTCAACGGTTTTGCAATTATATACGTACTCAATTCCAAAGGAACATCAAACAATTCCAATGTGATAATGGACGGGAATTTGATAAACGCAATGTTTCGACAATTCTATTTCGATCATGGAATCCATCTCCGTTTTTCTTTTCCTTATACCTCATCTTAAAACGGAAAACCGGAACGCAAACTAAATACTCAATAAGATTGCTCGGACCTTACTCTTTCATTCTCACACTCCATCTTCTTTTTGGCCATACACACTCTAGACTGCTACATATCTTCATAATATTCTTCCGAACAAAATACTAAAATACAACTCATCGACTACTTGGTTGTATCACAAAACTCCTATGTACTCCCATCTCTGCGTTTTTAGGTTTTTTTTATTATCCGCATAATCCCGCATCCACAATTCACAAACTCGAACCAAGATCTATATCTGGTGTCTTTATGGGTTTTCCATAAAATCATCGTGAGTATCAATTTTTTGACATGTCTTCCAACATGTTCATTACTTCCCAACACGTTACCTTTGATGAAAACGTTTTTTCTCTCTCAAAACTCTCCACCTAATCTGAAACCCATGACTTCCTAAACACTCCACTTCATCCCCCTTTTCATGATCATCTCACACAAACACCACCTTTATCCTCTCATGTTGTTCTGTCCACGCCACCTGCTCCTTCGAACCAAACCCCTTCTTCAGTCCAACCAACTACCCAACCAACTATCATCGATCAAACCCCTCCCGTCACCCTAACGCCACCACTTCGTCATTCCATAACCGAGGGTATCACCAAACTAAATCCCAAATATGCTCTTAACGTAAATGGCCCTTCTATTTCTTCTTTTCCCACTTCTCACGTTGACGCCTTCCAGGACCGTAATTGGACTACTGCTACGAATGATGAATTTAATGCACTTATTAAAAATGACACTTGGGAACTTGTACCTCGACCACCTGATGTTAATGTTATACGATGCATATGGGTATTTACTCATAAGTTTCTATTTAATATGGTGCTTGAACGCCATAAGGCTAGATTGGTTGTTAATGGCAGGTCACAAACAGATTGGAATAGATTGCCACGAGACATTCAGTCCAGTGGTTAAGATGGATAATATACGGACTGTCTTAAGCCTTGCCCCCTCTAAAAAATGGGATATTCATCAGCTTGATGTCAAAAACGCTTTCTTACATGGGACTCTTCACGAAACAATTTTTATGCATCAACCACCCGGGTTCAAGGATGCTCGGTTTCCCGATCATGTATGTCGTTTAAAGAATTCCCTGTATGGTTTGAAACAGTCCCTTGCATGTGGTATACTCAGTTTGCCTCATTTGTCTCGATAATTGGCTTTTCCCACATTCGATCGGATAATTCATTGTTTATTTATCAGCGAGGAAACGATATGGCTTACTTATTATTATATATCGCTGACATTATTGTAACTGCCTCTTCCAATAATCTCCGTCAATCGATCGTTTCTAAGCTTAGTTCCGAGTTTGCTATGAAAGATCTTGGCCAACTTCATTGTTTTTTGGGAATTTTGGTTGCTCGTAATAAACAGGGTTTATTTCTTTCTCAAACTGCTACCAAAATCTTGGAGCGTGCCAACATGTCATCATGCGACCCTTGTTACACTCCCATGGACACAAATGTGAAGCTTAGTGTGTCATTGACCATCGTTATTGATCCTATTTTGTATGGAAGTCTGGATGGCGCTCTTCAATACTTGACATTCACCCGCCTGTATATCTCTTATCTGTTCAACAGGTATGTATGTTTATGCATGATCTACGAGAATCACATTTTCGATCTCTACGTTGGATTTTACGTTATATTCGCAGTATGTTGGATCTCCGGTTACATTTGACAGCCTCCACTCCTACGGGCCTTATGGCCTACACCGACGCAGATTGGGGCGGTTTCAGATACTCGCCTATCAACTTTAGGGTATTGTGTGTTCTTGGGTAATTCTCTCATCTCTTGGTCCTCAAAGACACAATACACCATCTCACGATCTAGTGTAGAGGTTGAATATCGGGCGGTTTCAAATGTGGTTTTCGAAACCTGCTGGTTAAGGAATATTCTACTCGAACTTCATTGTCCGATTGACAAGGCTACACTCGTTTACTGTGACAATGTAAGTGTAGTGTACCTTTATGCTAATCCGATTCAACACCAACACACCAAGCACATAGAGCTAGGTATTCATTTCGTTTGAGAGAAGATA